GGTGCTGGGTAAGCTGGGCTGTGCACCACCACCTCCATGTGTACTTATACGGTCTTTTGATGCTCAAAAGGCTGCTGGAAACTTGCTTTCAACAGGAAAAGCAGAGGATGCTCAGACTTCCCTCACAATAGCTTCAGGGACCAGCTGCACAAGCCCAGCATGGGAGTGAGGTTTGGGGCTGGGCTGTTCTCACTACTCTCACAGGCACCTGCAAGGGAATGGTTTGGGTCCAATGCTGCACCAGCTGCCCCAAAGCTCAGCTTAGTGTAAATGGGGCTGCAAAGACCCTGCACCCACCTGCAGAATGATATCCAGGCCACACCAGTAAAGCCCCAGGGGCCAGCGAGCTGCTGAGTACCGAGTGCCTGCACAGGGGGGGCATTCACCAGCACAGCCCCTGCCACCATCACAATCTCTGGGGTTAATCCTAAATGTAAAGTCCATACACAGCCAGCCTTGCCAGGACCCTGAGGGTCATAGCCAATGCTTGGGGGCCTCTGTGGCCATACCTGTGGGCACGGCTGCCCTCTAACAGCGGCAGCTGGGGGAGCTCAGGCTGCCAGCCTGGATCCTGCTCACCCGTACTGCAGCATCAATTAAAGATGAGCCCTTGCTTTGAGCTGATTTTCTCCTCATTCCTCTGGATGTCATTTGGGTTTGGATCCAGCCGCCTTTGGGAAGCTGGGAGCTTGCAAATCTCGACTTTTGAATGTTTGCAATTATGATCATAATGGTAAAGGCACATATGCTTCTGTGTTCTCTAGAAGCCATTACGAGGCACAGTTGCTCTTTTACAGCCGTTTTACAGCCAGAGCATCAAGCACAGGCAGGGGAATAAAACCCTTGTGCACATGGGGATGGAAGTAGGGTGGCTGGGAGCTGCTCCAGGCTCTGCCACAGCATCCCTGTGCCCTCCTCCCCGTGCATTTAACTTCCCCTTGCTTTAGCTCCCTATCACAGACACCAGAAGCCCATGACCTCCTTCAGCTTCCCTCGTTCACTGAGCCCGTGAGGACATATGGAGGGGAGCAGCATCTTACTGCACGTTAGCCCAGCACCCAGCCCCAGGGATCTCTTATCCCAGTCCTAGACTGTGGGTCCAGGACTTCCCAGCAGGATGCTGGTGGCAGAAGAAATTTCCCCCATAGTGAAGTTAAATATAGGGAGAGCCTCCTTTCTAGCTCTGCTCGTGGCTGGAACAGCACCAGCTTCAGTAGTTGAAGTTTTGGAGGGGAACAGGTTTGTCCAGGTGTCCTGGGGGACAGTGGGAGGTGCAGAGGATGCCAGCACCCCATGTACCCCCAGGGGTAGTGGCAGGACTCTGCCTCTTCTCTGCCTCCAGGCAGGGAACAGCATCACAGCACATGCTGGCAGTTCTTCCCGACAGCCTTCATTTGCTTCCAGCTCTTCCCAGCTGATGATGTTGGGTGTTAGCTGCTGATTTGCAAGCAGCAAAACCAAGTCTAGCTCCAAGTGTGCTCCTTGGCACACGGGCAGGAGGTGCCGGCTGGCAGGAGCCCTCCTGCCCAGCACAGCCCTTCAGCATTGGAAATCCACCTCACAGCAGCATCCTTTCCTCTGTTCACCCCTTGGCCAGGGGGCCAACTCAATGCTGCATGGCAAAAATCACTTTTGGGAGCAAATGTCGCTGATTCCCTGGCTCTTGTAGGCACTCTCTTGGTAGCTCTGGGGCTCTGAACACCCCCTGCCTGCTTTCAAAAGGAGCTGATTGCACCCCAAAGCCTCCCGTGCTCAGGGACACTCCCATGGCTTTGCTTCATATGGGTGATGGTGATGGCTCCCTCATCATCATCATCATCACCAGGGAGGGGCCTAGCAGCTCTGCCTGCCTTGCACGCTCCCATGATCGGCAAGGATCTGGGTCTGTTGGGATCTCTGGCCATGACACAGAGACCATTGCCAGAAACAATCTGTTTATAGTGTCAGTGCTTGGCGTGCTCCTCCCTGCCAGTATCCTATTTCTGCAGGCGCAGAGACACCCTTCGGTAGTCTGGGTGGCATTGTCACTGCAGGGCATATTTCTGTGACAACCTCCAACACTGGTGACCAAAGCCTACCAGAGCTCCTCTCCCAGCTCCCCATCCTGAGAAATGCCCATGGATGTTGCATGCTTGTGCTTTTGCTTTTTCTCTGGAGGTCCCTGCTGACCTGATTCTTCCTGCAGGTCCTGACCCTGATTCCTGGAGATCTGAGTGGTGTGGGTGCCAGGCTATAGCATTTCGCTGCTGCAGCCCCCTCCCTTTTGGGATACAGCTAGTGGCTGGGTCGTTTGTTTGGCAAAGACAAACTGAAGTCTCAGTGGAGCTGTGGGTGGATATGCCAGCAACACATGGAACCAGCCCTTGCCAGGGGGTTGCTCCTCCACACTCTGCCCTTGGGTTTGCTTTCCTTCTGGGTTGATGCACGTAGCCAACGCCTGTGAGCAGCTCTCCCTCCCTCGCTCTTGCTCCCAGAGACCCTTTAAATCGGTTGCTTCACACTCAGTGAACATCGTCTCCCCCTGAAACCCATTCCCGTTCTCCTAAGTCGTGCCAGGCAACCATTTTCCAGCAAACTCCCTGATTTTGGCCAGTTTTTCACACTGCTTGCTAACAGCCTGTTCAACCCTCCAGGCCCCTGCGGCGGCTTTGCTCGCACGCATGTCGGGAACGATCGCCCAGTGCCTGGGAAATGACTGCTGGCATCACCTGGGCAGCAGCAAACTTTGCTTGCACAGCTTCTCTCAAGGCTGATGCCGATGTTGGTTATTAGTGCTAACAGCCCCCGTGTCTGCCACTTCCTGCAATGGGGCCTTTCATCAGAGAGCCCCTCCGAGATTGGGGGAAAGTTGGCTTTTGGAGATGTGCAATTTTCTTCCACCTCACTGGCTTTTTATCTCTTTCAGAAAGCTCTGGAGGCCACAAGCTACCTTGCCTAATGGATCTCTATTAGGTTGTGGCACTGAGGGGTGCAATCGGATGTATCCTGGGCTCCAGCTGCTCTCCTTATCCATATTTTCAACAGTCTCTGGTTTTTGCCAGCCTCCAGATGGGAAGTGGCCAGGGGCCTGCGGGGCCAGGCTTGGTGACTTGAGAGAGGATATTTTATCCCCTAAAACCCTCCCACAGCAAAAAAAAAGGCAGCATTCCACCCTGCTGTTTGTGCAAAGCTCCCACCTGGACCACTGCATCACCTTGATGAGCAGGGAGGATGAAGACGGTGTGTTTTGTTCCCCTGTGTGACATGTGGCACAGTGCTCTTGCACCCCAGCAGCTTGCAACAGCCAGCTCTAGCCCCACATGCCCACGGGAGGCTGCCCAAGCTCCCAGGCAGGGCAGTAGTCTTTGCAGGATCTCCATGTCCATGTGAGACCCTCAGCCTGCTGGCTGTGGTGGGGCAGGTAGGGGATTGTTCTGAGGACAGGCTGGTCCACAGAGCTTCAGCACAGGCCCAAAGTAGGGAGCTGAGCCTCCCGACCTGTATTGTAGAGTCATAGAATCCCAGACTGGTTTGTGTTGGAAGGGACCTCGAAGCTCACATAGTTCCAAACCCCTGCCACAGGCAGGGACACCTTCCACTAGAGCAGCTTGCTCTAAGCCCTGTCCAACCTGGCCTTGAACACTGCCAGGGATGGGGCAGCCACAGCTTCTCTGGGCAACCTGTGCCAGTGCCTCAGCACCATCACAGGGAAGAATTTCTTCCTTATACCTTATTTAAATCCTCCCTCTGTCAGTTTAAATCCATTTCCCCTTGTCCTGTCACTACAGGCCCTTGTCAAAAGTCCCTCTCCAGGTTTCTTGTAGGCCCCCTTTAGGGACTGGAAGCTGCTTTAGGGTTTCTCTGGAGCTTTCTCTTCTCCAGGCTGAACAAGCCCAGCTCTCTCAGCCTGTCTCCATTGGAGAGGCACTCCAGCCCTCTGAGCATCTTCATGGCCCTCCTCTGGACTCACTCTAGCAGGTCCAGTTTAATCCCGTCTCTGTCATTACAATGTCTTTTTGCATCACTGCATGCCTGGGTGCTGGTATCTGGATGCTGGCACTGCACAGCTCAGAGGCAGCCCCATTCCCCAGGTTAGAGTACCGACAGGACAAGGCAGGATGAGGCAGTATTTTCCAAAGGAAACAGTGGTGGTGCCAGATTTGCTGCCCTTCCCTGCGACAGGATGCAGGACTCTCCAGAGAGGACTAGGGTGCAGCCATAAATCCCACATATTGCTGCCCCTTGCCCAGGCCACCCTTGTCCCACGCTGCACAACATGCCAGTGGCAGGCAAGGGGCTAAATGGCACCTCAGTTTACCGTCCCCTGCTCTTGCCACCACAGCCCAGTAAATGACACCTTTCTGGGGAGGGGACCGGGTAGTGAAGATTACTACCGTCGCTATGGGTGGCATCAGCTGGAGAGCAAAGCGGCGGGTGCACATCACCCAAACACGTCCGGACTTTGACATCCGAGCAAGGGGCTCGCCCGTGGCTAAAATCATCGTGGCTGTTGGGAGAATGCATTTCTGGAGGTGTCCCAGAACCCCGCCCGCCTTTCACCCACCCTGCAGCCCCCCTGTGCACAGCTCCCCTTGGGGGATGCTCAGACGAAGCTGGGTCTGCTGCTATCCCCCTTCCCCGCGTGTCCGCCAGGTGTGGGGCTGCTGGAGGGCCCCCCACAGCACCCCAGAGTGTCACCCTGCCGCTGCGCAGCTCCGGCTCGGGAGCGGGGGGGGTCTCACCGCGAAGCGGGGGGGTGCTCAGGGGCTGGTGCCACGCGTGCCCGACGGGGAGGGCGGGCTCCGTGCCGCTCGGTGGCGGCGGGCAGCCCGGCAGAGGACTCTGTGAAGGACCTTCTCCGGTTTCCTCGGGAGGCTCTCGGGCGGCGGGGAGCCGAGCCCCGCTCTCCTCCTGGCCGCGCCGGCTCCCTCCCTCCCTGCCACCGCCTCCCTCCTCCTCCTCCTCCCGCTGCTCCTCCCGCCCCGGGAGCTTTCGCTGCTTTTCCCTTTCCCCCCCCTGTCCTCCGCGGAGAGCGGTGCCGGGCAGAGGCGCGGGGATGGGGCGGCCTCCGGCCCCCTGCCCGCCCGCCCGCTCCCGCCGCCCGCCGCCGCACCCCTTCCCCGGCCGGCGGGAAGCGGCGGCTCTCCCCCGCCACCCGGCTCGCCTCCTGCTCTGATTCTCTGCCCCTCGGCCGGTCTGGGGGAGGCGAGGAAGGGGTACGTCCCCTCGCACTTCTCCCCCCCCCCCGTCATTTCTCTTTTCGCCCCCCTTTTTTTGCCTTCCCCCTATCGCCTCCCACACCCCATCCATCCCGTTTCTCTTCCACTGGGGCTCTTCGGCGGCCATGCGGCCGGTCCCGGGCGAGCGGCTCTAAGTCGCCCCTCGCCCGAATGGCCCCGCGGAGCCGCGGGCGGATGGAGCCGAGCTACGTCGTGGGTATCTGCTGCCTGGTGCTGCTGGAGCCGGGCCGGGTGTGGAGCGGCGAGAGCAGCACCGGGGCGCCAGGTGAGAGCGGGAACGGCAGCCAGGTACCGGCGGTGGAGACCACGGCCCCGGCGCCCACCGGGGCGGCACCACCGGGTGGGGATCGCTGCCGCGGTTACTACGACGTGATGGGGCAGTGGGACCCGCCGTTCAACTGCAACGCCGGCATCTACCAGTACTGCTGCGGGACCTGCGGGTACCGCTTCTGCTGCCAGTTCAAGCCCGGGCGTCTGGACCAGAGCGGCTGCTCCAACTACGACACCCCCAATTGGGTTAACACGGGCCAGCCACCCACCCGGGTGGACGAGACCCCCGAGGACCCCACTCGTGACAGGACCAACATGATCGTCTACATCATCTGCGGCGTGGTGGCCATCATGGTGCTGGTGGGCATCTTCACCAAGCTGGGCCTGGAGAAGGCACAAGGTCCCCAGACGGAGATGACCGTCTCCAGGTAATGGGGTCCGGTCCCCACCTGCCCCACTTGATCCCCCCCCCGGGCATTGTTCCCAGCCCCTTGTGTGGGGTTAACCCCAGCTTCACCCTGGGGCTGACAAGAGGGTGAGGTGATCCCCAAAACCCCCATCCCAGCATGCTGAGACATCGGGGGGGGGGGGGGGCGGGTGTTGGCTGCAGCCCCCCAACCTGTCCTGCTAGGGAGGGCTGCCAGCCAGGACAGCCTACATGAGAAAGGCTGATTGTACACCCGTGCCCTCTCAAAACAACATGCTCTGTCCCTTGAGGAGCCCTGTCCGTGGCTCAGGAGAGCCATCCCTACCGCCTAGTGCAGTGGGTGATGTGAGCTATAGGTTGTGGCTTCCCCCTGCCCGCCAAACCAAAGCTGTGGTTCCCGATGTGCAGGGGAGATGAGACTGGGTTTGACTGTGTGTGAGGTGACTCGGGACTGCAGTCCCCTTGGGCTCAGCCTCGCTGGCAGCGCAGAAGCGAGGGGAGATGGCAAAGGCAGCTCCACCGTGGCTGCTGCGTCGCCTCAGTGTGCGTGTACACACATGTGCACGCATGTTTGTGCGTGTGTGTGCACTAGTGTGCACGAGTGCCCATCTCTGTGCACTGGTGTGGGACACTGGGGGGGACCAAGCTGCACACCCACTGGGGCTCAGCCTCCAGTGGGCACTTGGGCATCCTCCCTATGTCCACTGCATCCTGTGGCTGCAGCCCCAGCTTTTCAGCCCGCTGCTGGAGCTGAGCGTGGGGGCAGGTTGGGGTGTCAGGTATACTTTGGCATTGGGGACCCCCTGCGCCTCCCCATGTTCCTGCCCAGCTCCCATGACTGTCAGTGCACCTTCTCTTCTCCCTCCTGCACCAGTCCTAGCTCCAGATACACCTCATTTCAGGGCTCTACTTCACATCTTCCCGGTGGGGACATCGAGCGTGGAAAGAAACCCGTTTTTATGTCATTTTGTTCAGGGAGTTTAGCTTAAAATGAAAAAAACAAAACCACAGAGCTGGAGACAGTGGTTTCACTGGGACAATTGGAGCCACACCGATTGCACCCCCTGGCACAGACACCCTCTCCTTCCCCCTTCCTGCCCAGAGCTTTGGCAGCCACTGGGTGCTGCACCCCAGCTCTGGACCTGCTGCACCCCAGACCCACCCAACTCCTTGCACCCACCCAGGGGAGCAGAGGCTGAGCCGCTGCTTTGAGGAGTGTCATATCTGTGCATGGATGGGGCTCACAGGGCCCTTCTGAGCCATGTATGGCAGTTTTGGGGGTGTCAGTGCTGTGCCCCCCTTGGCAGGGAGCCTGGCCGGGTGCTGCTGCACGTCTGCATCTCCTCCCTGTGTCGCCTGAGGAAGCGCTGGCACCTTGACAGGATCAATACGGCCTCCGCCAGCCTCCCTGCCTCCTGACTCCCCTTCCACTCGCCCACCGCCATGTCTCTTTTTGGCCTCCCCTCAGTTCCTGGGAAGGGGATATTGTGTGCAGGGAGAGCTCAGTCCCCAGGACACCCAGACCCCTTTCCTCATTCCCATGCCTTCTCGCACCACCAGGACTGCTGGCAGGACTCCTGCCACTACTCACCAGGCGTATCCTCAAGGCTGTGCCTCAGGAGCTGTGTTTCCTCATAGTCCCCCTCCCTCTCGCTAATCCAAACTTTCCAAATGAGTTCAGGGAGATCAGTGCCTTTTCTCCCCAAAGCCACAGACCTTTGGGGCATATGGCCCAGGAGAAGGCAAGTTTTCCTTGCCTGCCTTTGTGGGACAAAACCAGAAGGGCACCTCCATCACTGCAGAAGTCAGGTGAGGTTTCATCATCTCCTGTGCCCTGTATCCTTTTGTATAAAGCCACAAGCTACTCTGGTTCCACAGGCATGGTGATTGGCAAGCTACGGCAGGGTGTGAGCAGTGCATGGGGTATAGAGACCCAGGCACCAGGCAGGGCACCAGGCAGGGCACCAGGGAGGGCACCAGGCTGGACTGATGGGTGCTGGACTGATGGAGACAGTGCCAGGGCTGGGTACACAGCACTGGCACCAGGAAAGGGATGCTGTCTCCTCCATCCCAGTGAGCACTCAGTCGGCCCCGGCATTACATTCTGTCTCAGTGCTTGTGAGAGAACAGGGCTATTTCTAGCTGCCTCATTCCATACCCATGCATGGCTCGGGCAGTGCCACCGAGCCTCCCTCCTTGCGCCTCAGGTAGGAGCTTCTCATTTGCTCCTCGGGCACCGCATCGTGGCCTCGGGCCAGCTCCCTGTTGCACGGCCGGCTTGGTTTCCATTCCCATTCTTTTTTCCCTCCCGCCAGGGGTTTTCAGCTCCTGGGGAGTGCTGCCTGCCACCCCAGGACAGCTCCCGCTGCCACTGCTTGCACGCTTCTCACTCTGGGAAGGAAGGTCAACCACTTCTGCACCTCCAGATGTTTGTCATGGTCCTGGTCGGGGCGCAGGATGAGCGGCCAGGCTCAGAAACCCCACCAGCTCCTCCTAGACAGAGATACCTGAGCTCTCATCCAGCTTCTCCTAAGGTCCCCATGCCTCAGGCTGCCTCCAGCATGGTTTCTGCTGGCTTTGGCTGCTGGTCCGCCCAGATGAGCTGCAGCTACCTGGTGTGTCTTCCTCTCCCCATCCGCCTTCCTCCTGCAGGGCCTTATGGCAGCTGCCTCAAACCCCTCTCCTTCCTGCTCAGCTCAGGCTTGGCACCCATCCCCACCACTCGCTCAGCCTGGCCAAGCCCTGCATTGAGTCAGGAACACCCGCCCCTGTTTTCCTCCAGACCCTGGATCTGCAGGGACACCAGATTCTTGGGGGACGCTGGGATCTGGCTGTGCCCATCGTGTGAGAGCGGGCAAACACCCCTGACCTCCCTCAGAACCTCCTGGAGAGGGGACTGCAGTTTATGGCTGGGGTGAGCATGCCTATGGGGAGAGTTGGGCGAGAAGCAGCCTCCTGGGGGGCATTGGGATGCTGGAGAGGGGAAAACCAGCCTAGGGGCGTAGGTACCCTGGCAGTCGCTGAATCCCCAGTGCTGGCTTTTCAATCCCCTTGTCCGCCATGCTATTTGGGGTCCCAAAACTGACAGGGTTTCGTCCCTCACTGCAACTGACCACACCAGGTATTTCTGCGGTCCATGGCCATGCTTGCGGTTGATGCCCAAGGTAGTGGCTGGTGGAGGTGGAGAGGAGTTTGCAGGAAGTGTGGCAAGTCATTCCGTGCCATCTGGGACAAGGGAAGGGGCCCAGCTCCGGCAGGAAGGGAGACCTGGATCCCTGTCCCTAGACTGGATGCAGTGTCCCTCCAGGTGAGCTCACTCCCACTGCCCACACTTTGCCCTAGGTCTGTTCGTCTCTGCTGCAACCCCAGTTTTACAAAGATACCTTTTGCAGGATCCTTCCTGACCAGTGTCCCAGCCCCACCAGGCAGGTATCCCACAGAGTGGAGTGCATGGACGGGCATGGCCTGCCCTGAGCGGATGCACTGTAAGCCATAGGAAAGGTCCCCACCATGGGACCTTGGTGAAGGTGGCACTGTGGCTGGGCACAGAGGCTGTGTGCCCTGCCGGGTGCCGGCCCACCTGCAGCTGTGGTTTGCCATGTTTCTCCTCCACCACTGTGTATTCTGCCATGCCCTGGGTCACGCTCCCACATGGGCACCTTCATTTCATGCGCCAGTATTCCCATAGGGATGGCTTGGGAGCACTGGGAGCTTCATTCCAGCTCTTCCATGGAGCTGCCATGGCTTCCAGCATCACTGCTCCCGTATCTGCCTCTTCACTTGGTTTCAGGGCTCGTGCCAGGCTGGTTTGGCACAACCAGGCTTGCTGAGGGCTGTGTGCCCACACAGTCGAGACTGTGCTCAGGCAAGCTTTGGTGGCGGCAACTGACCTTCACACATGGCCTCATGCGCTCAGCACCCGTGGCCATGGCGGTGGATGGAGGCCTCGGTGGTGCTGCTCATTAGTTGCAGGTGAGCAGTGCAGGTTTAGAGCCACATCAGCCCTGTGTTCCCCACCTCCATCTGCACCCTGGAGCTGTCCTGGTGCCACAAACCATCCAGTGACCCACGGAGATGTGGCCTGACCTTCCCCAAGCCCCCAGCCACAGGACCATGCTGAGGGTCATGAAACTCCCCACAACACAGACAGACATCAGCTCGTCAGCACAGTGTCACCCTCCAGCTCCATCTCCCCTGCACTGCAGGGCCTGGGGACAGGGACTGGGATGCAGCCCCCAGGGGCCCTGCTGACAGCCCTGACTGGTGGTGCGAGGGTGGGGGGTGAGCCTGGATGTTGCCAATGCTGAGGGTTCATGCATGCTCCTCACCTTAGCAAAACAGCTCCTTAAGAACTGTTCATGCCGCTATTGGTGACTGTTATCATCCAAACACCCTGGGTGGTTGGCATGGAGGGCATGCTTATGAGAAAGAGCGCTGATGGATTTATCTGGAGAGGAAGTCACAGATAAAGGATTGCTCAAGCTTCATAAATAGACCCGAGGGGAAAAAAATACGAGAAAATAGGTCAAATCGCATTGAACTTCCTGGTGAAACGAGCCCTGTTGAGTGCTGGGCCCTGGGGACAGGCGAGAACAGGCAGTGGCCAGAGCACCCCAGGGAAGGTTGGAGCTGATGGGGCGGGAGCTCCCCGCGTTGACAGCCCACAGCCACAGGGATCTGCATCCCCCCGGCCCTGCCTGGGCACAGCTTGCAGCCCACCCGGGCTGGTGTCCAGAGCTCCTCTGGGTGCAGCACCCATGGCCAAAGGAGCCTGACTGGGCTCAGAGCTGGGGCAGTGGCTGAGGAGGGCTCTGGGGAGGTGAGGGGTTTCAGTACAGCCTGCCTGGGCAGCATGGTCCCGGGTCTGACCATCCTCACAGGGAAAAGGTTGTGTCTTCTCTTCAAACACCATTTCCCATGTTCTGGTTTGAACCTGTTGCCCCTTGTCAGCCCGGCACTGTCCCTGTTGCACCCTCTCTTCAGATGTTCACATACATTGATAAGATCCCCTGAAGCCTTCTCCTTTCCAGGCTAAACAGCCCAAGCTCACCCAGCCTCTCTTCACAGGACAGATGCTGCAGTCCCTTCATCATCTTTGTAGCCCTTTCTGTGAGTCTCTCCAGTATGTCCATGTTTCTCTTGTACTGGGGAGCACAAAATGGACACAGCACTCCAGGTTTGGCCTCACCAATGCCAAGAGAAGGGGAAAGATCACATCCCTTGGATAGGCTGGCAACACTTTGCCTAGTGCAGCCTAGGAGACCATCCTATGCCCCAAGGACACACTGCTGGCTCACAGTCAGCTTGGTGTCCTCCAGGCACTTTTCCACCAAGCTGCCTTCCAGCTGGTCACCCCCAGTATACACAGGGACTATTCCTCCCCCATTCCAGTTTATTCTGCTCCATGAGGGCCCTGTTGGCCCATTTGGGAGGTATTACCCAAAGCTCCCCAAGAACGCTGTCAGGTGAACCCAAAGGACAGCACCCTTGTAGCTTTGCTCTTGCCGTCACCCACTGATGTTGACTGGATCCGGACTGGGAGGGAAATCATCCCAGGAACAACGCTTGGGGCCCCGCAAGCATCCACACCTCTGGGTATAATGCATTGCTTTCCCCATTGCTCTCATTGGCTTCCCTGGCAATTCCCTGCCCTGGGTTCATTGGGCTTTTGAGTGCCCCGGGTCCATGAGCTGTCATATCCACCAAGTCAGAATAATTCCCCCCTTCCTCTCCAATTTGCATTGATGCAGCACGTTGAATTTAATCTGCTGTTTATCCAGCCTCTTGCTAACGCTGAGCTCCTGCCGCAGCTCACAGTGTGTGTCTATGAGCCAGCCAGAGTCACAGAGGTGCAAGGCATGGGGATTAAGGAGCCAAAATGAGCCCTGAGTGGACACCCCTGTGCAGTCATGCAGGGGGAATGGTGGGTCTCCTCATCGCAAAGCCCCATACCAGCAGCAGCCTCTTGTCCTGCCCTGGCACTTGCTGCCGAAAGCAGCATGTCCATGTGGACATGTCCTGCTCCGGTACCGCCAGTGTGCCGTGGTGGAACTGCAGCATCACCGTGCATGAATGTTAAACAAAATAGGGCTTTATCTTATGTGACGGTGCTTAATGTTTAATGCTCTTAGTTATAAGGAGGGTGTTACGCATGGATAGTCTGTGCGCTGGTGGCCGCTGCTAGCTCATCCTCTTCCCCAAAGAGGCACAAGCGGCCTCTCTAATCCCTTCCTCAGGATCTTCTTTGCTCTGAAGGGACTTCAGATATGTCACCTCCTCTCTCCACCTCCACCAGGCTCTCACTCTGGGGGAGCATCCCCGAGGTGTTGCTCCAGCTGCTGTCAGTTCAGGTTGCTCTGACTTGGTTTGTCATAACCTTGCAGCCCACCCCAAGCCATGTGTCTCCATCACCATCTGCACTCACTGGTGCTCCTGGTCCCAGGAGGGCTCAGCCCCCATCCACTGCTGGGGGAGCTTGCCAACCCCCATGCAGAAGCTGGGCTGGGACCCTAGGTGCACTCCTTGCTCCCAGCAGCCATTTCCTAACCCCAGGCTGCCTGGCTCTGCCTCCAAAGGCGGGGTTCAGATCTGGGATGCTTTGGTGGGGTCAGGGGGGCAGGGTGTTGCTCTAATGGCCCTTCATCCCTCTCCAGGACACTGACAGACCTGCTGAAGCAGCCAGGTCATGGCCCCTCCGAGCACATGGATGGCCTCATGGGAGGCATACAGGTCCCGCTGGGTGAGGGTCTGGCCTGCGGGTCCCCCCGGAACGACGCAGGTAAGATGCTGGCATGGTGGGGAAAAACAAGCTCCCCATGGTGAATAAAGGCAAAGGCATTTATTCACTCAGCCTTCAGCTGAGCCCCTCGCCCACCTACCTCTGCCCCCCCAGACAAGCCACCCTTGAACAACGCTGTGACCATTGCCCCCCCGCTGGGGCGGCCCCATGGCCATGGCAAGCGCCTGCCCCTGACCAGCAGCCTGGGCCTGTCGGCCCCTGCCTACGCTGCCTACACCACCCTCAAGGCTGGAGGTGAGTGCTGATGCTTCATGGGTGGGGTGATGCACCCCATAGACCCCACAGACAGGTGGGGAGGGGTGGGGGACTCACAGAGGGGCATAGGCAGGACCTGCACCCCAGGGCTCCAGCACAACTGCTCATGGCAGAGGCTTTGCTGCCCCCCACTGCCCCATAGACTTGCTCCACTGTCCAGCCAGTCAGAGCCCAGGATCCCCCATGGACCCACTGCACTCCCCAGCCCAGATCCTCAGAGCCCAGGATCCTCCATGGACCCACTGTGCTCCCCAGCCAATAAAGGCTCAGGATCTCACATGGATCCGCTGCACTCCCCAGCCAATCAGAGCCCAGGATCCCACATGGACCCACTGCACTCCACAGCCAGTGAAGGCTCAGGATCCCCTATGATCCACTGCAGTCCCCAGCCAACTAGAGCTCTGGACCCCTTAGGATCATCTGCTTCCTTCAGACAACCAGAGTTCAGGATCCCACATAGACCCACTGCACTCTCCATCCAATCAGCATCCAGGATCCCACACACACCTGCAGCACTGCCCACCCAATCAGAACCCAGGATCCGCCATTACCCTACAGCACTTCCCAGCCAATCTGTGTCCAAGATCCCCCACTCCCCAGCCAATCATCACACGGGATCCCTCCCGCCCCACTCCCTATCCCCACAGAGAGCGCCCCCGAGGACTTCTACCTGCGGCTGGGGGGCCCGGAGTCTGCCCCCTCCGGCACGCTGCCCTTCCCGCACGCCGAGGCGCCCGTGCTGCCCGAGGGCTGCCCGCTGCCCAAGGCCAAGCTGCCGGGGGGCCCGGCCTTCCCGGGGGGCTGGGAAGGGGCCGCCCCCCGCGGCCCCCGCCGGCCCGGCCTGCCCCTGGGCGCCGCCACCCCGCTGTACGGGCAGGCGCCGCGGCACCTCGCCACCAACAGCAAGACCGAGGTCACCGTCTGACGCCGGCACCGCTGGGGACGGGGCTGCCCCTCGGCCGAGCGCCGCTGACACCTGCACGAGCTGCAGCGGCCGGACGTGGCAGGGGACGTGCCGCCCTCCCGCCCCCGGGGATGGGGCTGGCGGCTGCGCTTCGCCATCGAGCAGGCACCGGTGGGCAGGCTCGCAATCCGGGCAACAAGCTTCAGCCGTGCCCAGCCTCTCCATGAAGGGGCTGTGCCGGGGCACACGAGCAGCGCGCTGCTCAGGGGACGATGCTGGACAGACCACAGCCCCCAGGGATGGGGGACACGTCCTGCCGGGACCAGGCACCCCCACCCAGCTCCTGTGAGCAAGTCGGGGAAGAGCAACGGCCTCAAAGCACTGTCCTGGTGCTGGCAGCAGAGCCACAGCAGCCCCTTTCCCTCCCCAGCCTCCCCTTACCCACTGCCTCAGCCTCCACCTTGTCAATAAATACTACATTAAACTGTATGGCCTTGGTATGGATTGGCTGGGGTACTCCATGCTGCTCCCAAAACCCAGCTCCTTCGGGTGCAAAGCCTGCTCCCAGCCATGGAACACCCCCAGATGGAGGAAGTGGTGGGAACAGTGCTTCCAGAGCCAACTGAACAACCCTTTGAGCAGCTACGTGAAAACCAAACAGCTCTTCTCTGCCTGAAGCTTAATGGTTCTGACAGTTTTACCAGGGGGAGCAGAGAACCAGAGATGGAGTAAAAGGACATTGTTCCAAGCAAGGTCAGGTAAAAGCTCTCCACGAATGTAGATGCTGCCAAAATTGCAGGCTTCTGGCCCAGCTCTGCCTCACTTGGCCCGGCTCAAGCCATCAGCCCCTTGGGTTGCTTCCAAAGGAGCACAGAGACACTACACTTGCTCCACCAAGGGGCGTTTTTCATTGCGAGCCATACAGCTCCATTGCCCAGGTTATTCAGACAGAGGAGTGACAGCTTCCTGGGGCACTTGCATGACTGAATGTCTCTGAAGGGTGGTTCAAGCTCACGGATGCTTGAGAGCAGCTGCTGGGCAGGATGAAGAGGGTTATAAAGAAAAAGGGCAGGCAGAAGGTGGTGGTAACGTTCACCTTTATTAGGTACCAGATGCTCAGGAGCCCTGGCACAGGGTTTTCAGACAGCAGATATATTCCTTGGGGAACCTCCCCACCACCAGCTGCATCTCGTATCACAAATCATCCCTACTCCAACCTCCATGTGGATAAATAGATTTTCTTCACACAATCCATAAAACAATTTTCTCCCACCCACAAACAAAAAAAGAAGTTACAGTATATACACACACACACACGTATAAAAAAAGGTGTAGGATCAGACAGGCAGCAAAACTGATGAACAGCATAGAAAAAACAGGGCAAAGACCCCTGGTCCTGGAGGGTAGAGAAGAACCAGCAGTGCTGGTTCCCTCTGTGAATCATGCCCCACAGCCTCCCAGCCCCACCGGTACTCCTTGCAGCCCAGATCACAGTCCACTCTTAGTGACAAGTGAAGCCTCAGCATCCTGGTTTTCCTGAAGCTTTACTTCCCCCCACTTTACTAAAGCACAAAACTTCCCCCGTGTTGCACCCAGACCCAGGGAAATAACTTGGAGGTTGCCCCAGGTAAGGAGTTTCTCTGGTTTAGGAAAAAACAACCACCAGGAAGACACTGTGAGAGACACTTAGAAGGATGCGATCCACCCCCCAAAATAGATCACCAGTAAGCTAGGAAACTCAGGAATGGGCAATCAAGACCCACCCAAACTGATCAAAGACACCCAAGAGCAACCTTCTTTCCCTTTAAAGGGATGAGCTCCCATCCAGCTGCAGACACTGGGAAGCAAGGGATGCCCCAGCCTGTCAGTAGGGTGAGGAGCACAGGCTCCTGGCCATTGCAGCAGGGTGTCCACCAGATATTATTCCCAAAATAAAGTGGGGGATGGAGGGAAGCATCTTCTGGTCCCCAAAACAAAAGCATCTTTTGTTTGCAGCTATAGCCCAGGGTCACTGAGAAAGGGCTTTGCTGGGAAACAAGTTTCTCCTGGATGCAGCTTCCACCTTGTTGAAGCCAAGCAGCTCCAGGACCACCGTCACTTGTGTTCAATGCTGCAGCACACAAAATCCCCAGCCCAGATGCCAAAAGACCCTGTGCAAGTGAGACAAGTCCCCGTCTCTTTCCCCTCAATTTGGAAGGAACTCAAGCTCTCACACCTGTCTGCAAAATCTGGATGCACACAGAAGCTTCTTGCCCCAGTCTGATTCTGCAGGGGTCAGGCTGCACAGGCCTGACTGGGACAGCATTGGACTGGGCTGCTGCCCATATCCAAGTGCTTCTAGATGCTGACACAGAGCACAGACCAGCTACTGCAGGGAGAAACAGGGATGCCCACCTGCCAAAGACTGGTTTCCACATTTGCACACACAAGAGTGTGTTCACTTCTTTGGAGAGATGCAACAGGAAAGGCAGGGAAGAAGGCGGCAAACCGTTTCCTCCCTGTCGCCAGTCTGCCTCCCCCTCTTGGAAAGTCACAGGTGATTCATCACCTATAAGTCAAAGTGCTCTGAACAGTCATGGTAACAGAGCTGGGAGACTCATCCCTGGAACCACTGCCTCCGAGTCCCTGCTGGAGCTCCAGAGCTGCTGAGCAGCTGGAGAAGGGAAGGAGAAACATCTGAACACAAGCTCTGGGGCTGGGAGCTGAGTAAAATTAAAACTCTGTTCCTAAAAACTGCTTCTGCATGAACAAAAAGGCACCAGAGCAGCACCCACCCTTCACACCGAGTGCAGGGCGCTGCACATCCACCTCTGCTGCCACCCAGCACTAGACGACCCAGGGTGCCCCAGCCTTCTAGAGGGCTCTGCTTGTAGAGCTGCCACAAACCCAGTCCCCTGCCAAAAAACAGAGGCAGCTGTCAGAGGAAGGAGATGCATGAAGTGGAGAGGAAGGGAAATCTGCTGCATCGCTCCCTATGTTTTTGTAAAGCCACAAACACTCCTATAAAAAACCTGTATAAAAACCGTAGGTAAATTTGCTGGGCAGTACTGGCCCCAAGCAACACTCCCGGAGCACCTCTGTAAACTGGGTCTAGGGGGCTTCAGTTTCCTCACATACAGCTCAAGGAAAGCTGGTGCCTTCCCCCCATCTCTTGGGAACAGCCCCAGACCTCAGCAACCGCAGGGGGCAAGGCCTGAGCAGACTCTCTGCCTTCCCCAAAGGTTACCACAGAGGTGTTTGGGAAGGGAACGAGATGCCCCTGAGAACAGACACGGGATGTGCCACTTCTCTATGCTTTGGGTGTGCGGGCTTCTCCCCCCAGCAGGGATGGGGGCTCCAGGCTGGGGCAGCACTTCCCAACAGCCCCAGGCACAGTTGCAAAAAACCTCAACTGAACGAGATTCCTGCACCAGTGCCTGAGAACAAGCAAGGGGGCTAATAAAGCTAAACCTGGGGCAATTAAAAAAGCAGAACAAAACCAAAACCCTCCCTCTCCCACCCCATCACGACCCCACCAGCACAGCCCTAACCTCACACTTTAGTTTTTTACAAGCTCCAGAAGGGCAGTCCAGGCTGATGGTCAACCAGGCTCTGCACAAGGCAGCTCCATGCCGGCATTAGGAGGCAGCGATGGCCGTGCCCCCACTCAGCTTGACGATCATCTGCTGGCAGTCATTGCAGGAGCGCTTGTCCCCCACCTTCTCCAGGGTGCGGGCAGCCTCAGCCAGCAGGACCGCTCGCTGGCCCGGCGAGGAGAGGAAGGAGAGGGGAAGGTGGCGGCAGGCCAGCAGGATGGCTGTGGCTCGCTCCCTTTGGCCTGGCAGGGTGTCCAGTTCACCTACAGGCAATGAGGAGAAAGTGAAGGGTGAAGCTACCACCTGCACGATAAACCCCACCGTGTGGGCCCTTGAGTGGCACCACTGAGCACAAGCATCTCTGGCTGGCATCATCGGCTGTGCCTAGAGTGGGGGGCACCCTGCAGCAGACCCCCAGGCAGCTCCTTTAGGCTAGCAGATGAGAACAGTCTGAGCTGGACTGGCAATCCTGTCTTTTACAGAGATGGGCCCTTTCACTTCACTTCCCAGGGCTCAATCCCAGCACCAGCACACACATCTGCCCATTTTCTTAAACACCCAGGGCATTTTACCACCACTACCACGTCTCTTGGCTCTCCCCTTTAGGATTCCTGGCTTCTGCCTTTGCACTGACCTCCCCAAACTCCAGACTGCCAAGTTTCAGGCACGTGTGGCTGAACAAAGACAAGTGTTTTCAAGCCTGTTCATTGACACCACCAGCTCAGGTCTGGCAGCTCACATTAACCAGCTCACAGAGATCAAGGCAGAAGAATTACCGTGAGCCATAGGGTGATGGGAGATCATTATCCTGATCCTCAGACACAGAGAAGAGGCTGCAGGTTGCTGCTATGCCCCCCTTACCTTGCCCAAGCACTGCCCCCTCCCAGTGGGGCCCCTGTGGCTGACCTTGCTTGCTGCTCTGGGGCGTGCGTCGCCTCAAGCTGTGCTCCAGCAGCTGGTGGGTGCGGGTAGGGCTGGCACCTGCCATCAGGCGCACGGTGGCCTCATGGAGGAAGACCTGGAAGTGGAAGGAAAGGTGGGATGGAGGGTGAGAGGTGAGCTGGGACAGGGGTGATGCTGCTGCTGAGCGTGTGTCATCCCTCTCCCATTGCATTTCCAGAGCGGAGCACTGATGCCTTGCCAACAGCAGAGACCCATTTCCACACTCCTCCCTCATCTTCCCACCTGTCTCTGGGGAATTTGCAGGTCAGGGCAACCGTGAGAGAGGAAAAAAGCTTTTGACACATAACAGCAAGTGGCCTGGAAAGGGAGAGGCACAAGAGCAGGAACAGGGTGGAAAAATGGGACTGCAAACCCTGGCACTGTGGCCTAGGTGGGCATCTCACCCAGGCTGCTAGTGCAGCACTCCAATAACGGTATCAAACGTTGAAATCCAGAATCTGGACAACACCAGCACAACTCTGTTGTCCTATTATACGACATTTCCTCTACAGAGGCTTAAAA